GAACCCCTTGCAGACACACAAAACAGGCTGGGAGGACGGAGGGAGCTTTGCCCTTCCGTCCGGATGGCTCACGGAGCCCCTCTCTCCGCAGTGATGCGCAGCCTTGGGATCCCAACGCGTGTGGTGACGAACTTCGACTCTGGTCACGAGAAGGACGGCAACCTGGTTATCGATGTCTTCTACGACAGCAGCGGGCAGCTGCTGCCCCGGGATAGCAAGGACAGCATCTGGTGGGTGGCCCCTCGGCCCCATGGCTTTGGGCAGAGCTCCAGGGTCAGGCCGGTCTCTGTGCGGCTGGGCTACCCTGCCGGCACTTAGAGAAGCTGGTGAGGCCTTCAGAGGCGCAGGAGGGTGGGTGGCTCAGAGGAGACCCCTTCCTTGCAGTGGGGAGAAGAGTAGATAAACCTACGGAAAGAGGGGGGAAGAACCGGGGGTGGGGGATTCCGGTGGGTGGCTTTGCCTTCCCTGCAGTATCGCAAGAGCCCTGCCTGCCAAGCCCATAGCCAGAAGATCGCTGGATTCTTGAGCTTCTTGAGAACCACGGAGGGGGCCCTGATGGCAAAAGGAGGGTGGCTGGAGGGTCTCTGGCCGGACACAGCTCCCAAGGCCCCTCCTGCTAGCCCCCAAAGAGCTGCCCCAGGGCCATTCTGCACGGGAGCTCAGAAGCTGCTGCCTGTGTGCTTGAGGCTGAGTTTATGGAGCCCGTTCTGGTTGCTGTGGCCCTCCCTGGTGGCCAGCATGCCCCCCCCCCGCAATGTCTGTCTTGGCTGGGTCGGCTGGCTTTTTAGGCTGGCCCAGCACCTCCCCTCATCTCTCCCCCGGCAGGGTTGGGGTTTGCAAGAGGGCCGCTGGCTGCTTGAGACGGCTCCCTCCCTCTCTACTTGTATGGCAGGAACTTCCACGTCTGGAACGAGTGCTGGATGCTGCGCAGGGATCTGCCTCCCGGGTATGATGGCTGGCAGGTCTTGGACGCCACACCGCAGGAGTCCAGCAACGGTAAGCGATGTGGCTCCGCTCCGTTCTCTGGCCAGGCCCGGGCAGGCTGGCAGGCATCTCGATCCTTCCTCTCTCTCCCCTTTGGCAGGGCTCTACCGCTGTGGCCCAGCGCCTGTCAAAGCCATCCGGAACGGTGATATCCACCTGCGCTACGACACCCCCTTCGTGTTCTCCATGGTGAATGCAGACCGGGTGGTTTGGCTGCTCTCCGGGACAAGAAGAGAAAAGCTCCAGTGGAATCCAAGCGCCGTGGGGAACTACATCAGCACCAAGGCCATCGGAAGCGAGGAGCGAGAAGACATCACGCACACCTACAAGCACCAGGAAGGTAGCTCCGGCCCCTGGAGGTTTACACAACCCCCCCCGCCCTGATTTAAGCAAGACCTAACCCCTGGCTCTTTCCCCAGGCCTTGGGCTGGAGTGGGTGACAGAGCTGGAAGGGACCCCCGAGGCCTTCTAGCCCAGCCCCCTGCTCGAGCAGGAGACACTATGCTATTCTGCACAAACGGTTGTTCAAACACTTGAAACCCTCCAGGGATGGAGCATCCACAACTTCCACCGATGAACTATTCTCACTGCCAGGAAATTCCTCCTTCGTTCTAGGTCGGGCCCCTTTCAGAGCCTCCCGTCCGTGGCTTCTTGCCCTGCCTTCAGGGGCCTTGGAGAACGGGTTGACCCCCAGGCCTTCTCCCAGGTTGCTCTTCTCAGACCGTGGCGCTTTGTAGCCGGCCCTGTAGGCCGCCCAGGGCGGTCACGGAGTTGGGTGACCTATACATAAACCAGATCTGTAGTTGCCAGCCACCCTGAACCATCACCGGGTCACTCGGCAGGGCTTCGTGGAGCCATCCAGTGTGGCCAAAGGCCTCCAGCCACCTCAAAGGTTCCTCCTGGCCCAGTAGCCTGTTCTGCCCCAGCCTCCTATAGTTCCTCCAAGCCCTGTTTTACCAGGAGAGCAAAGCCAGTACTGGCAGCCCCCCCCCCCCAATGCTCCCTCTGCCATGAATGGAAGCAGTGGGGCAAAACCTGGACCAAGATGCTGCTGGATGGGCCCTTATGACTTGCCAGCATCATGGCACAAAGCCCAAATTAATTCCTGGCAAAGAAACAGGCGGACTAGAACAGGAGGGAAACCCCTCAATCAAGGTTTCAGGATGAAGTGGGGCCGGGGGCAGCTGCTTAGGGCCCCTCAATCAGTCTGCTGGCCTTTCGGAGGCATCCATGCTGGGGACCCCCCCTCCTCCTCCTGGGCCACCACCTCAGGCAGCTCCTCTCCCTCGGCAGGGTCCCTGGGCGAGCGCCAGGTGTTCCTGAAGGCCCTCACGCGCAGCCAGCCCTTCGGGCCCATCAGAACCAGCACCAGCGCCTTTCCGGCTCTCCAAGACGGCCGGCGCCCAGAACCCCCCATGGGGGCTCAGACCTTTCTCCACCTTCAGCTGGTGGAGAGTCCGGAGGTTGGCCAGGACATCCACCTCACCCTCCTGGCCCGCAACCTGGAGTTTGCCTCCAAGGAGCTGAAGCTCAGCCTGAGTGCCCAGTCGGTGCTGCACAACGGGCACCCCTTGGCGCCCTTCTGGCAAGACACCCTGTACCTGTCCTTCAGCCCCAAGGAAGGTAAGCAGGGGTGGCGGTGGGCGCGGGTGGCTGCGGGAGTGGCCCTGCTCTCTCCCCTGCTACCTGCCCTCCTTCCACAGAAAAGCGCATCCCCTGGGACATCTCCTACCGACAGTACGGCCGGCACCTGCAGGAGGACAAGCAGATCCGGGTGGTGGCCATGGGGGAGGAGAACACCTCCTGGCAGAAGGCCCTGGCAGAGAAGACCATCACGGTGGCCACGGCCCCCATCCTGATTCACGTAGGTGACCTCAAGCTCACTCCCCCCTCCCACCCGCTTCCAGCAGGGCACACGGCTGCCAAGCAATTCTTTGGGGTGGGGTGAGGCCGCTCCTGGCTCTCTAAGCCTTCTCCCCCTCCCCCACGGCGCAGGTGTTGTCTCCTGTGGTGCTGGACCAGCCCTTCCAGTTCCGAGTGGAGTTTACCAACCCCCTGGCCGACGCCGTCAGCGATGGTCTCCTGACCGTGGAGGGGGCCGGCCTGGTCCGAGGCCAAGCCCAGATCGAGTGAGTGGGGATGGGCAACATGGCTCCCGAGGAAGGCTGCGCTGGGGGAGGGGGCTGCTCTTCCCTTTCTGCACCACACAATCCCATGCGCGGGTTGAGTTTGTGTGCGAGCAGCCATGTCTGGACTTGTCCCCCAGCAGATGAGGGGGGGGGGGAACTCCACACCCCTTTGGATGCCAGAGAAGGAGTGGTGGAAGCCCCTGGGATGCCCATCGAGCCTCCCTGGGCCCGGCAGGGAGAGCACAGCCAGCCTGGGCCCAGCCACCCCCAGCCCATTACGGAGGGCAGCCGAGAGGGCGGGTGGAGCACTTCCTCTGGAAGGTGCCAGAGGCTCCTTGGCTGTTGGCGGATTCTGGCCAGGCCTGTTTTGTGCCTCCGAAGGCTCTCCCTCCCTCCCTCCTGGGGAGAGCCAGACAGGGCGAGTGGCCCACAGCGGCTGCCCTGGAGGGAGGGAGGGAGGGAACGCTCTCGTGTGGGAGGCCTGCTCTTTCCGATGCTGGGGCTGGGGAGTTCCAGGGGGTGAGGGAGAGGGGGCCACCTCTGCCGGAGGGATGGAGGAGACCAGGAGACCGGCACCGAGCCTCTGCCTTTGCCTCCCCAGGTTGGGCTTCCTGCCTGCCGGACAGCAGGCCAGCCTCACCCTCCAGCTGATCCCCTACAAAAGTGGGACGCGGCAGCTGCACCTCACACTCAGGAGCAGCCTCTTCCCCGCCCTGAAAGGACACAGGCAGCTGCAGGTGGCCGAAGACGGCTGGAGGAGAGGATGGCTGCCTTAGCCGGGGCCGCGGAATTGCTGCCCGGACTCCCCCCCTCCCCCCTTTCAATGCACAATAAACTGACTGTTGCACCGGTGGGGTCTTTTCTCGGGAGCATCTCCTCCAGGATCCCCAGGCAGAGTCCATGTGAAGCGGGGGGCAAACCTCACCACTGTGCCAGCTGCAAATGAAGGCCCCCTCCCCCCCTCAAGCTTCTGGACCTTTAGCATCTTTGGGCGATAGGAAGGGAGCAAGGGGGGGGGGGGGAGATGGGAACGGGACTGGTTGGCGGGGAAACAGCACTGAAGTTCCGGAGGAAGGCTGAGGGGCAACGTTCCCTCTAAGCTGCGCGGCTGCACGGCCTCGCACCTGACAAGAAAACACCACGCTGCAGTTTCCAACTGCCGCGCAGTGATTTTTAATGTCACTGCGCTGCCCTCCCTGCCTTCGCCCGCAAGGAAGAGGAGGGGCCCAGCGAGCTCCTTCTGACGGGGAAGGGCCCCGCCCCGCCCCTCGCTCTCTTTCCAGCTCTACCTGCCACAGACTTGGATGGTCAGAGTGAAAGTCACCAGCACTCCGACAGCCAAAGGCCTGGCTGCCTTGCCGGCAGAGAGAAAAGCAGCACCCGAGGAAGCCGGCAGGAGGAGGGGCGCATTGGGCCTGCCGGCCTCCCTCCCTCTCCAGAAGGCGCTCAGGCCTCACCTGCGGTCGTTTCCAAGGCAGCGAGACAGGGAAGCTGGGCTCCCCCGCGGGCAGCAAAGGCCGCAGGAGCTACGGGTCTCTCTCTCAGCCAGGGCTCGCCCTCCTCCAGAGCCAAGGCTGGGGGATCAGCGGGGGAGCTTGGGTTCCTAAGCCCCCAGGCAGACTCTTCAACCCCCCCCTTCCCCCCAACTGAAAAGGTTGGAGCTGCTTGGCCTTTACTATCAGTATCAGCTTGGCCTGGCCCCTCCCTGTGAGGCTGATGCTGGCCTTGACCTCCTGGATCCCACCCTGGTGTAGCCAAACCCCCTCCCTCGCCACTGGCTCAGCACTGACATCTGTGGGAAAAAATCAGGTGCTCAGGCATGAAAATGTGCCACTCAAACACTATGCTTTTCCGCACACACTGAAAACAAATTAGAGGGAGCATTGCTGAGGGGTCAAGGGGCTGCACTTTATCTTAGGCTTCATGCCCAATGCAGAAGGCGTCTGTTACAATGCATCAGATGTCAAAGCAGCTCAGGAGTAAAGGGAGGGGGGCCCGCACAACAGCTGCCCCGAGTGGCCTCTCTTTGGGTGCAGCGGATCCTGCAGTGGAGCTCAAGGGGGGCATAACCTTAACCCAGGAACACCCTTGGCAGAGGCAACCCTTCCCCACGGACCCTCCCCTGTGGCCGGGGCTGCAGAAGGTTCAACCTACGCCTGGATTGCCCTCTCCTGGCCCCTGGGGGCTGCCTTTCCCGGGGAGCCGCCTAGCAAGGGCAGCCCCCCACAAGGAACAGACCAGCGGGGAGTCATCCATGTACTCTGGTGGGCCAGAGCCACAACTGACCACCCCACTCGGCAGCTACCGCTGGCCGGCTAGAAAGGAGGGAGTGGGAGGGTGGGGCAGGAAACCTGGGAACTGGGTCCTCTGCACGTACCCCGCCCTCCCCACACAGGTCACGGCCTCTGTGCCCCGGGTCAGAGTCTCTCTGGAACCAGAGCCGTGAGCGTGTGTGGGCTTGTGGTAGAAAAAATGAGCAGGCTGCAAGCGTTCCGAGCTTCTGGCAAAGAGGCCAAGGGTCCTTTACTGCCCACAGTCGAGGCCAAAGCGCTACGGCTGCTCCTTCGGCCGGGTGTCGCTCGTGCACCGACCCTCCCCTGCTGGGCCAGGGTCTCGCAGCAGGCCTTGGGTGGAGTCCTTGATCTTGCCTAGGTTGTGGTCCACTGCTCCAGCCAGGAACCGCACCCAGCTCTCTTCGGAGGGAGGGCAGACGTGGCTCGTCCTGCAGGAGATGAGACGGCAGCCCTGAAGGGACGGACTGGTCTCCCAGCCCGACAACTCAGGCTCCCCTGCCAGGGTGAAAAGTCAGGGCAGCTGCCTGCCAGCTCGGCCTTGAGGCAAAAGACCCAGAGAGAGAGGGACAGACAGACAGACAGAGTGAGACCAAGGGCAAGTCCAGAACCGGTTCTCTCACCTGGTGGTTTCCAGCATCTTCATTAGCACCGAAGCCAGTTTCCCAGCCTAAAAAGGGAGGGGCAGGTGAGCAAGGAGGCCTGGCGACTGACACCCTCTCCCCAAAGGGGAAGCCCAAGGGGGCCTGGGGGCTTCAGCCATGATCAACAGCCTGCAGGTGTGGGCGGCCAGGCACGGGGCTCCTGGGTCCCTCCATGACCAACTTACGTTCAGCCGCAGAGCGAGCTGGTTCACGGGCGGGCAGAGGCTGAGCACCAGTTCGTCCACACTAAAATACAGAAGGCAAAACCAGCAAGGGATCAGCACAGAAGCAGCCAGCACGGGGACAGCAAGTCTCAGGCAGGCTGGGTCCCGGAGGGGTGACGGCTGGGAAACAGACGCAGCAACGGCCTCCTGCCCTTCAGCGACCTCTTTGGAGGCGGGAGATGCCCCTCCACGCAATGTGGGTCCCACTGCTGCCAGGGATGCCAATGCTGCTCCGGCCGGCAGGGGCCTTGGTGACGCTCACCTGGGGCTGAGCTCAGCCGCAGCCTCGGCCAGGGCATCCAGTTGAGCCACCTGCTCCTCCGTGTCTGCTCCGCCGTGGCTTCTCATGGCCGCCAGCAGTTTCCTCAGCCCAGCCTTGGTGGCCTTCACCAGCCCCTTGCAGGGGCCCAGCAGCTGCCGTTCAGCATCTGTCCAAGCGAAGCCGGCGTTCCCTGGGGAGCCCAGCAGTTCGTCCTCCAGAGGGTCACCGGGAGAAGCCCCTCCCTCCGCCTCCATCTAACACAAACACAAACCCTTGGCAAGGAGGGCTCCGGCCCGAGGGAATCCGGGGGAGCCCTTGCAGGAGAGACACTAAGCAGGGGCTGGAACCTTGAGCAAGCAGGGTGGGGAAAGCCAAGGGGGGCCCTTCTGGGCTCAGCCACCTCCGATGCTGGTGACGGCATAAGGAGGATGCGGAAGAGTCACCCCGCACATCCTGAGGAAACCGAGAGGGGCCCCTCTGGGTGAAGGCTTGGGGGAAATCAGCCAGGGCCCCAAGAGAGTGGGAAGCCCTGGGCTCTCAGGGATCCAAGCCTCAAGGCCCCCAACACGCACAGCTGCCCCCTCCCTGCCTCTTGCCAATGGAGGAGGCCTCTCCTGACTTCGCTCTTCCAAGCTCGGGCACTGGCAATCGCTGGGCCCCTGGGCACCCGAGGCGGCTCTCTCTTCTCCCCACCTGCTCCATCTCCTCCAAGGCATCCTTGATAAGTTCCAGGCAGGAGGAAATGGCCAACGTGACGGCTGCCAGGTTGTCTGGGCAGAGAGAACACCGGGTGAGGGGCAGGGCACTCTCTGGGTGGCAGCGAGAGCCCGCCCTCCCCCCCAAAGCTCCAACTCAAGCTAGGCCCATTCTCTGGCCACGCACAGCTGCCTTCTGGCCCTGGCTTCTCTCCCGCCCACTTACCATGAGGCAGGCAGGAAACCCGGTCGCAGGCCTCCCAGACGCCTCCGGTTGAGATAAGCTGCTCCTGAGACAGACTGCAAGAGGGACAACGGGACAGGGAGCAGTGCAGCCAGCAGGCAGCTGGGAAGGCCCAGGCCAGAAAAAGATAGTTGAGGACCCCCCCCCCCCATTCCACTCGGCCCGCTGGGGGCTTTTCTGGGGAGGGAAAGCAGAGGGGCAGCCATGGCGGGAGAAGGCTCACCTCTCCTGGGGGGTCCGAAGGATAACCTCTACGAGCTGAATCATCCCTTCCACCAACTGTATTGTGGCACAGCGGACAGCATTGTTCAGGGCCCTTCCTGGGAGGGGCAAAGGGAGCTCTAGCCAACCGGAGAAAGAGTCCTCATAACGAGGAGCAACGAGTTAAGTAAAAGCAGGAGCCTTCAGCCACCACTGAGGAGCTCCAGGCCGCTCCCCAGCGTGAGAGAAGAGGCTGGAAGGGCAACTGCCAGAGCTGATGGCCCAAAGGCTCTTTGCACTGCTCACACGGGGCCCCTCCTGCTGCTCACCTTGGCTCTCTGGGAGCTGGTGATAGACCGAGACAGCTCCGATGGTGGCATCGCGCACCTCTTGGCTCAGCCTCTCGCAAATCTGAGAAGGAAGCGACCACAAAGGTTAAACTGGTGCCCCCAACAAGATTGTACCTCTGTCCTTCAAGCCCTGGAGAGGCCCCACTGGGGGCGCCAGTGGAAGATATTCCGTTTCTTCC